GTCTGTGCTTCATCCTGAGAAGCAGCCTGTGTGGGGCTTCACAGCATGGGTGCTGGACCCACACCCCACCCTATTACTGACCAGCTGGGTGGCTTTGGGCAAGTTACCAGACCTTCTGTGCTCAGTCTCCCCATCTGTAGGGGTGGCCCTGATAATAGCCAGGGCTGTTGCCAGGACAACTAGGAACAGCCCGGGAAATGGGCCCAGAAGCACCTCAGAACCCTTGGGGCAGCAGCCTCTTTGCCTGAAAGGCTCCCACTGGCCCTGCAGTGAGCCCCCTGTGCCAGCTGTGGCTGGGTGCCCGCTGGGGACACTGTGCCTCCAGAAGGAGGCTGTGCATCCTGTGGCCTGGGGGCCAGGCTCTGCTGTCTGAGCCTCCAGAGAGGAAGAGGGGGAAAGAGTCCTCAGCCTCCAGGCCTGGCCAGGAGCTGAGAGCAAGCTCTGACCCACAGAGAGGTTAATCCATCTAAATTAATTCATTCGTCCAGGTTAGAGGTGAGAGGACACTGTTCCTTTAGATGAGAGCCATGGTGTCTACTTTGTCATGGTCTCTGCCACTCCCTATTGCCCCTACCTGACCATCTCCCTCCTACACATCACCTGCCTGGCTCCTATAAGCATTTCAGTTCTGTAGGGAGCTGGCTTAAAGGAGAAGTTAGAGAAGATGTTAACTACTAGAGAAATGTGAAGATTGACTAGGAGCTGCAAGTTATCACCTGGGTCTGTGGTCCGGAAACTACGGCTTGTGAGCCACTTGCGGCTCTTAGACCCTTGAGTGTGGCTCTTCCACAAAATACCACGTGGGGGCGCTCATACAGGGTGATTGAAACTTAGTGGCCCATGCCCAGAAGTCGGTTTTCAGCCTGGGCGCGTCTATTTTGAAGAAGTACTGTTGATATTTGGCTCTGTTGTCTAATGAGTTTGCTGACCACTGTACTAGGTTAATGCAGGTTAAGAGCACATCAGATAAAAGGCACCCTGGAGGTTAGCTTAAAAGTCATGAAGAAACCAATGTGGAATTTTGTTCAGAGAGACCAAGAGGGAAGGGGGTGTTAGAGACACCTACTATGTGCCAATCTCTTCCCCAGATTTTTTCTCACTAAATCGTTGATCTTACGCAGAAGGTCAGATGTACCCCTATGTTACAGATGAGGAAACTGAGGCAAAAGAGGTGACATGAGCTTCCTGAGGTCACCCAGGAAACGAGCAGCAGAATTAGGCTACAAATCTAGACAATGCCTGGCTCTAAAATGATGCAAGCCTCACCATAACCATTGTCCTTTCAAGTGGCCCGGGAAGGGATTTGACAAAACGGGCTCTATGGGGCCGAGGAGGAGTGCAGACACCTCACTAGGGCCTCGGAGGTTGCCAGGGCCTGGGGAGGGACTGGGGAGCAGGAGCAGGAGAGGATACAGAGCATCCAGGTGCTACCTGAGGTGGCTGGGAGGACAAAGGTCATGGTCACACTGTTCTGTGGAGGGGTGGGCAGGAGGATGCCTTCTTCTTGGCCTTCTCAGGGAGCAGAAGGTTTATCCTTTAGAATAGGCTGCTGGCCTCTTTGGTCCCTTGGGTTTCTGAGTTTTCAACCAGGGTCCTGGGTCTTTCCTAAGAGCCTGGCCTGTGGTCCAGCAGCCCCTCTCTCTACCCTGGTTTCTTCCCCTCTCGGGGTCATGTTCATGCTACTTCCTCCTCTTGAAAGCTGCTCCTTCCCCTTAAGAGAGGTCAGCTCTGGGGCACATCGTCTCAGAGCCTGGTGGTCTCCTTATCAGTCTCAGAATGAATGTGTAACTCCCCGGATCCAAGTCCGCTTCCTCACAGGTGGGAAGTTCCATGAGACTGAGAGTCCATATGCCCAATTTACCGCTGAATCCGGCCCCTGGCATGTTGCTCGACACACCAGGCCGACCACTAGCAAGTGCCAGAGGGATTAACAGAAGGAGCAGGACCCTAACTGACTGCCTTCTTCTCCCTGCAGGTCGTCCCCTTCTCTAGGGCCATACCAGAGGGCCTCCAGTATGGACATCAGGTCACTGTCAAAGGGATGTTTCTTCCGTCCTGTGGAAGCAGGTACCTGGAAGTGTTGTTTCTCTCCAGCCTTGACCCTTAGAGAAATGTCAACTGTCTGCTCAGGGTGGTTCACCTGACACTCTCCAAGCTGCCTGTGCCTGGCTCAGGGGATGCTGGATGTGTAGGGCCTGGCCCTGCCAACACTGCATGGAACCCCTGCCCTCTGCCAGGAGAATCTGGACACCATGAACAGAGATTCCCCATAGACACAGGGAGCTCCTAGTCTAAGGCCAGCCCTGGGGCAGATCATAGGCAAGGATTGAATTTTGCTCAGGAAGACCCAGAGATGCAAAAATGATGCCTCCTTTATTTCCCATAACGGCCTTCATTCATGTCGAAGCCCTCATTTGACTGATGTGGAAATCTTTTTTATCTCTATATTTTTTTAATTTAAAATCTTGATTGTTTAAAGTGTTACACATGTCTCCTTCCCCCCCCCCCAATGACCTTTCCCTAGTCGCCCCCAACCCCCTGCACATGCCCTCACCCCCCTACTGTCTGTGTCCATTGGTTATGCTTAAAAGTGCACATGCCAGTCCTTTGGTTGATCTCTTCCTCCCACTTCCTCCCCTGTGTTCCCTCTGAGGTTTGATGGTCTATTTGATGCTTCTATGTCTCTGGATCTATTTTTGCTCATCAATGTATGTTGTTCATTATATTCCACAAATGAGTGAGACCATGTGATATTTATCTTTCTCCGACTGGCTTTTTGCTTAGCATAATGCTCTCCAGGTCCATCCATGCTGTTGCCAATGGTAAGAGTTCTTTATTTTTACAGCAGTGTAGTATTCCATTGTGTAGATGTACACCGTTTTCTAATCCACTAATCTGCTAATAGGCACTTAGGCTGTTTCCAAGTCTTAGCTATTGTAAATTGTGCTGCTATGAACATAGGGGTGCATATATCCTTTCTGATTGGTGCTTCTAGTTTCTTGGGATATATTCCTAGAAGTGGATCACTGGGTCAAATGGGAGTTCCATTTTTAATGTTTTGAGGAAACTCCATACTGTTTTCCACAGTGGCTGCACCAGTCTGCATTCCCACCAGCAGTGCACGAGGGTTCCTTTTTCTCCACATCCTCACCAGCACTTGTTTTGTTGATAGCCATTCTGACAGGTGTGAGATGGTACCTCATTGTTTTGATTTGCATCTTCCTGATGATTAGTGACTTTGAGCATGTTTTCATATGTCTCTTGGCCTTCTGTACTAGTATGTCCACTTTCAAAAAGTGTCTATTTAGGTCCTTTGCCCATTTATTGTTTATCTTCCTTTTGTTAGTTGTGTGAGTTCCCTATAAATTTTGGAGATTAAACCCTTATCGGATATAACATTGGCAAATATGTTCTCCCATGCAGTGGGCTCTCTTGTTGTTTTCCTGATGATTTCTTTTGCTGTACAGAAGCTTTTTATTTTGATGTAGTCCCATTTGTTTATTAAAATATCTTTTTGTTGAGAGTATTACAGATGTTCCTCTTTTCCCCCCTCTATTACCACCCTCCATCCAGTTCCCACCCTGCCCCAAACCTTCACCACGCTATTATTTCTGTTCATAGTTAATGCATATATGCATATAAGTTCTTTAGCTAATCTCTTCCTGATCCTTCTCTGAGATTGACCAGTCCGTTTCATGTGTCCATGCCTCTGATTCTATTTTATTCATCAGTTTATTTTGTTCATCAGATTTCTTTTTATTTATTTTGATTTTTAGATTTAATATTTGGTAGATATGTATTTATTGCCATTTCATGTTTCATATTAATTTTTATCTTTTTCTTCTTAAAGAATACCCTTCAACATTTCATGAAATACTGGTTTGTTGGTGATGAACTCCTTTAGCTTTGTCTTGTCTGTGAAGCTCTTATTCTGATCTTCAATTCTAAATCATAGCTTTGCTGGGTAAAGTAATCTTGGTTGTATTCAAAATATTTAAATTTGCCATCAAATATAATTTTTAAAAAATATATTTGTGTTGATTTTGGGGGGGAAGGGAGAAAAGAGAGATAGATAGAAACATCAACGATGAGAAAATCATTGATCTGCTGCCTCCTGCATGCCCCCTACCGAGGACTGAGCCCACAACCCAGGCAAGTGCCTTCAGTCTCCAGGCCAATGCTTTATCCACTGAGCCAAACACCCTAGAGCTCGAATGTAATTTGATCTCTTTCTGTTTCAAGTTCCTTCCTGGAAAATCCTAAGTCATTTCAAAATACAAACATCTCAGCACTGTTTCCCACCCAAGAGGGGACTTTGGGGAACATGGAAGAGATTGTACAACTCCCCAGATGTACAAGAGCCCTGTAATACTCCAGCAGCCCTGGCTGCCCTCTGCTGAGGCCCAGGTGGTGTGGAGGTGTAGGGCTCTTGCCTGATTTGGGTGGGGCTCTGCAGGAATTGAATAGAATGTCTATCTAGGGCCACCTCTGGGCTTGGTTCAGAGCCTGGCCCTGTGGGGGATGCAGAAGACACATAGGCGGGTGGGGGGCTTCCCTGAGTGCTTTGCATTAGTTGGGGACACCAGAATGACTCCAAGAAGCAGGCTATGAACCATGCTCCTGCTGAGTTCAGGGAAGGCTTGGAGTAGACAGTGACTCCTTGGATTGGGACTGGTTTTAGGACATGTGCCTGGGAAAGGGCAGAACAAACATGTATTGTGCCCCTTTCATGAGCCTGGCTCCTGGGAAGGTTCTTTTGTTCTAATTCCTCACCTTAGAGCCATAGCGATCCCCAAAGGAAGTTTTGAAGGCGAAAGCTTCCTTCTAAGGAAGGAAGGAAATTTACTGTTGTGGAGGCTTCCTGAACACCTCCTTAATCATCCCCAATGGAAGGGAGTCAGCTCTGCCCTGGGTGCGTTGACACCAGGGTAGTGTGTTTCAGGGTCACCCCAATAACTAACATATGAGCAGGGGTCAGGGTGGGAAACACACCAACCTCCGATGAGGGACAGACACACATACCGGAAGTTCTGCCTGGGGAGCCAATATTCATTCCATGCCTCCCCTGCTAGACACCGTCTTTGTAGGTAAAGTCCATCAATGTCACATCTTCTCTCCGTTTGTTCTCTTCCTTCCCAACTGAGCAGCCGTGGGCTGGCCTCTAACCAGTGCCCATTGGGCATGAGAGGTTCTTGCTTCTGGGCATGTTCCTGGATTTGCATCTTCATGCAAATGTGCAATCAGTTTCTGAGCCCTATGCTTCCTGAGGCTCGAGTCCACATTGTTCTTTACCTAGTTCCTGCTTATTTCTGGAAAGTCACGCTGGAAAGGGCAAAATGCAGTAATTACACAAAACACACTAAGTGCAAATTAGGTAAACACAAAGGAAGGCAGCACAGTGGGATGGGTGCAACCTGCCACCCAGGTTGTATGCAAGTTCCCAGACACACATGGAAGTCAGAGGCCCCGGGCCCTCCTGCCCCAACCTTTCTCAATAAAACAGAACGCTGTCTGATTTCCGTCCGCCTAGGTTTGCTGTGAACTTTCAGACGGGCTTGAGTGACAATGACATTGCTTTCCACTTCAACCCTCGGTTTGAAGAGGGCGGGTATGTGGTCTGTAACACCAAGCAGAAAAAATGGTCTAAGAAGGAAGAGAGGATGATGATAAATCCCTTCCAGATGGGAATTCCTTTTGAGATCAGCTTCCTGGTGGAGAACTCTGGATTCCAGGTGAGCAGGATTCTCCTCCCTCCCTCCTGCTACCTGTCCCCCTGCCCTATCAGGCCTGGAGAAAGGCCTGTAAATAATTACCCAGGCAATGCCATTATACAGATAAGAGGAGCTTACACACCCTCACCTGCAGCTGCAGAGCACCTGTTGCTTCTGTTACTAGGAAATAAGAGCTAGGTAAGTCCCCACTTGCTCTTTGGCCTCGGGTTCCAGGTGACTTCCATCCTTTGCTGCAGCCTTGCCCACTCCAGGTCCTTGACAGCATTTCTTTTAGTGATGCTGTGGCAGCCCTTCTGCAGGCCCAGGGGTAGCTCAGGGCTGCATGGTGTGGTCATTGCTCCTGCAGGCAGAGCAGTGCTGCTGGGCCGGGGGAGAGGGATGGCTGTGTCTGTGCTTCTCTGTGTGAACGGGATGCTCCCAGACCTCAGTGTGCACCCTGAGGTGCCCTCTCCTCTGCTCCCATGAGCACTTTATGGGCATTTAAATGCGCATATTGAAATGGCATCCCAGGTGAGCTGAGAAAGACAAACCTAGAGCAATAAACAAGCAAGAACTCAGAAGCCAAACTAGAGCCAAGTGGTGGCCTGGTTTGGCTGCACTTTGGATCACACGTGTGTTCCTGTACCTGGAGCAGCTCTGAAGGCTGGGCCCCACCTACAGGGGATGGAGGTGAAAACCAGACAGGCCTTAATTTGTAGAAGCAGGGGTCCTACTGCTCAGGTGTGCTCCCCGCCCTGTTCTGGGACCCTCTCCTGGACTATGTACTCCTGTTGACAGGTGAAGGTGAATGGAAAGGACTTTACGAAGTACACACACCGCGTGCCCTTCCACCGCGTGGACACCATCTCCTTTACCGGTGGTGTGGAGGTGACACAGATCAGCATCGAGGTTAGATTGTCCATCTGGCACTTGTCCCAACGTCTGGGTGCAGGGGCAACACTAGCTATGCCTAGGCTTGTTCCAGCCAACCTCTCACTCAGGTGACTCTAGGGACACTCTAGGGACACACCTTTGGCTCCCCCAGTGTCACTGTCTCTGTCCAGAGCACCTGCCTCAGCCTGACTCCCTCCCCTCTTATCTGTCACTCTCTACTCCCAGCCTTGTTAGGAGGCCATGTGGTCCCAGAAAGAACCAGCTTGGGAATCACACCAAATCTAGCTCAGATCCCAGCTCTGCATTGTCATCAGCTGTGGGATCTCAGACAGTGAGTCTGCCTCTCCCAGCCTCAGTTTCCTCATCTGTGCAAGGGGCATAGTCACAGCCTCCCCAGGAGGTATGTGTGGGCTCAATGAGGCGATAGGTGTCAGAGGTCACGTAATGGCCCCCTTGGGCCCACACCAGGGTCTATTGGATCCTCTCTGTGTTTTCCCATTTTTGAATGTGTTGCCAACATCTCCAAGGTCAGGGGCAGGTTTGCATTGTGGAGCTGATGCTGGTGATGGCTGCACAACAGTGTGAAGGCACTGAATGCCCCTCCACTGTCCTCATGAAAATGGTGAAGGTGGTAAATTTTATGTGTATTTTACCAAAAATTTTCAAGGTCAGGTGATATCACATGGAAATCTGAATGTCTGGCTTTTTGTGAAAACTGGGAAGATTGGGGTATGCCTGGCCCACATTCCCACAGGGCCCCAGGCACCTGGAGTGTAGATGTTATTTTCACTTCGGTATTTGAGTGTGCTTCTGAGATGGGAAAGGCACACTGTATGCTTGCAACAAATATGAGCTCCTCTCTCTTTGTTCCCATTTCTTACTCTCTCCCTCTCTCCTACTCTGTCCATACCTGCCTGGCCCCTGCCTTTCTACTCTTCCTGGACTATTTAAAGCTTCTCTTCACCCCATGACGCCTTTTGTTTTAACAGGACGCCCGTGCCGTCTGTCTCCAGAGGATGATCTCTGAGGTGCAGTCCTACCCCAGTGCCTGTGACTCACCTGAGTCCAAAGAGTGGAAACCAAAAGTGAGTTGAACATGGACACCTGGGAGCTGAGCAGTCAGCAGGAAGGACAGGGGTCTGAGAGAGGCTACTTCCAGCCAGCAGGCAGCCAGGGCTTCTAAGCCCCATCATGCCCACCCACGGTTCCCTATCTCCATCCACCAGGCACCCAGGGCAGGACCTGTGAGGCATCCTTGGTTCTCCCCTCCCTTCATTAATGACCCTCCAGGGCACCAATGCCTCTCCTTCCTGAAGCCACTGCCATGGTCCAGGCCACCCTCCCCTAACCCCTAAACACCCTCACACCCACCCACTGCCACATTAACCTTCACATAACCAAATCTTATCTCATCCTCCTCATGCTTAAATCTCTAAAAGGATCCAGGCTCAAATAAAGCTCCAACTCCCCAGCTGGATGTGCAAAATTCTCCCCAGTCTTGCCCAGCCCACCTCCCGGCCTCCCTCCTCAGCCACGAAGACCCTCCTTCAGCCTCCACTGCTCACTCCAGGCTCCTTCTGGCCACCACGCTTTTGCATCTGCTGTCCTGTTGCAAAATTATCCTTTGCCACCTCACCCAGCCAGCCCCTAACTGCCCTTAAATGCCCTGCTTCAATGTGGCTCCTCAGGGCATCTTCCCTGCCTGGCAGGTTGCTGGATGCCCCAGCCCCTCATGACCTGATGGACTTTTTAGGGCTCTGTGCACGCCAGGCACCATGTCCAGTTGTAACTGTACTTACATGTCTGTCTCTGTCACTCCACTCCCTCTTTCCCCAAACCATAAGCTTGGAATAGTGACTTGTCCCTTTCTGTATCCTCAGCACTTTGCAGGGAATAGAACAGAGGCCAAACCCAAGCTGGGAGCCAGATTTTGCCAAACACCACCGAGTCCCTGGCTGATGCCTTCCTGGTTCCCCCTGAGAGAAGGAAACATGGTTCACTCCCTTCAGCAGCCTTCCCCGGGGGACATGTGTGTCCTTCACTCACTGCCATGCCCTTGACCCTTAGCCCCTCCTCAAGGGCTTTGTCATCCAGGTGCCCAAACATTATTACCCAAAATCTCATGAAACTCTCCAGAAGAAAATACAGAGACAGTAAGGCTGGCTGTGCTCAGGCCTCCACTAAAGAGCCGGCACTAAGATGAGAAACGCACTCAGAGGCCCACAGCAAATATGAGCTCCTCTCTCTTTGGCCCTCATCTCTGTTATTTTCTCCCTCTTGCCTACTTTGTCTGTCCCTGCCCGGCTGGCTTCCTCCCTCATGTCCGGGCCCCTGCCTTTCCATTCTTCCTTGGCTCATTAAAGCTTCTCTTCACCCCATAGCACCTTTTGTTTTAACACTACGGTGTCGGGTGAATTTCCCGCCAAAATATAAGATGGCGCGGGCAATTATTTAGGTTTCCCGCGCAAAATCAGAGTTAGTTTAACGGGACACTGGTGATGTCCCTGTGGTGCAAAAGGGTCAGACTACTTGTGACCTACTGGAGCCCAAGGAGCAGAAAGCAAAAGTGAGTTAAATGTGGAGAACCTTGGAGGCTGAGCAGTCGGCAGGAAGGACAGAAGGTCTGAGAGAGAGGCTAGTTGCAGCGAAAAGACAGTGACGGCCTACAGGCCCCTGCATGCCCACCCAAGGTTCCCTATCTCCATCCACCAGGCACCCAGGTGCCACAACATTTTTCAGGAAGGATTCAGGATCTGGTGAAGGGGCCACACATAAATGGTTAGACTAGACAAGAAATATAAATTTAGAATGCATGGTGGAACGAGGCAGAAACCTACTCTCTATTGGAGTGGCTCTCTGAATCTCCAGACCCAAAGCTTTTTACTAGAATATACTTTTGCAATTTAGCAAAGCAAACAGACAGCAATGGTAAGGTTTGATAAACAAAAGGATTATGTGCTTAGAGGATTGCCTTCAGCCATTCAGCCAACAGCAGGTAATAATATACTGATTCTCAGCCCTTGCTGAATATCAAAGTCCATCAGCCTTCTGATGGACTTCTGGCATTTATATGTTAACTACTTTTGGAGCTCCAGTGGCTCAATCCGTTAGCGTGCTGTACTTATATGTTAACTACTTTTTGGCCTTGCCTCCAGCATCCAGGCCCTTGATCTGGGAGGTATACTTCATTCTTCCCTCCCCCCCTTAATATCCCTCCAGTGCACCAATGCCTCTTCTTCCTGAAGCCACTGCCTTGGATTAGACCACCTGACTCCTCACTCCTCACCCCCTCACACCACCCACTGCCAGAGACGTTTCCAAAAGCAAATCTAATGGCATCTACTCCCTCCTTAAAAACCCTAAAGGCCCCGGGCTCAATAGAGCTCCAGTCCCTCAGCTGGAGGAACAGAATCCTCCCTAGTCTTGCCCAGTCCACCTGCTGGCCTCCCACCTCACCCACCAAGACCTTCCATCAGCCTCCACTGCTCACTCCAGGCTTCTTCTGGCCACCACACTTTTGCATCTGCTGTCCTGGTGCTGAAAAGACCCTTTGCTACATCACCCCAGCCCTGAAATGCTCTGCTTCAATGTGGCTCCCTGCCTGGCAGGATGCTGGATGCCCCACCCCCTCCCTGTTTCAATGGACATTTCATAACTCTATGCACACCAGGCACCATGTCCTGTTGTAACTGTATTTACATGTCTGTCTCCGTCAATCCACCTGTCCTTGCCCAAACCTGTGAACTTGGTATTGTGACTTGTTCCTCTGTGTATCGCCAGCACTTTGCATAGTGCCTGGAGTGCAGTAGGGACTGGGTCAATGAATGAGGGATGTGGTTTGCACAGTCAGTAGAAGGGGAGACCAGTCAGGGCAAGAAGACCAGTCTGTTGGGTGGGAGGGGCCTCGGGCAGGAAAAGGAGCAGGGCCTGGCCCTTCCTTGGCCACTTGAGCAGTGGGGGCAAGGCCAAGGGCGTCTCCCTACCCAGCTTCCTGTGGCCCATCACGGTGCATGGTGGGCCCCTGCCACCTGCCACACTGATTTTAGGATGGAGGAGCTCCAGGGAGCCTTTGCAGGGCAGCCTGACTTTGGCCCTGGCCTTGGGAGGACGGGGTATGCTGATACAACCAGACACAATGGGTACCATTTTGTATTTGATCGCTTGCTACCTGGACAGGCTTGGGCAAGGTGCTTAAGCTCGCTGAGCCTGTTCTCTCACTTAGCAGAACTGAAGCTAAGGATGCCTCCCTCATAAAGCACTGAAGCCAGAGCCTGGCACACAGTAGGCCTCACTAAGTACTAGTTTTCACCGCCCTGGTGAAATCAGACACGGCAAGTAATGGCTTTGCCTCTGGGAGCTGAGGTGAGCTGTATGTTCTATGTCAGACTCATCCTTCTCGCTCTCTAGAGGAGCCGGCGGGATGTGCCCTCTCCTCCACCCGCCCCCTCCCTGTTCTTAACCATAGTGACCTGGGATGGTGGGTGAGCATCTGGGCACCACGGGCTCAGGGAGGCTTGCTTGGGAGCAGGAAGGAAGGAAGCGTGAGTCTGGGGCGCATTTCTTACCACTGTTTCGGCTGTCATCTCCCCGTCAAGTGGCACCAGTATTAACCAGCATTTTTATTTTTTGTCCCCTTCAGCCTCCAAGTTACTGGCAGGCCATCGTGGCTCCCATTGTAAGTCTCTTGCTCTCTCTTGGGAAGCTCTTCACTGTGGTTCTTCCTGTGGGTTAAAAGGAGGAGGCAGGGCCAGGCATCAGGCCTCTGCCACAGGGCGACTGGCGCAGCTGAGGCCAGACCCCTGGGCCACCCTTCTGACCGTGGTTGGAGGGAAGTGTTTGGGGGAGTAGGGGTGGTTGGCTGGGCTGATGGATTGGAAACAAGCTGAATTGCCCAAGCTCCTGCCATTCTGTGGACACACTACCCGTAATTACTTCCTCCTTCAAAGTGAAACTATGCTGGAGAAATTCCCCTGAGAAGGAAGATGGGTCAAAGGCCACAAATGAAGCCACATTCCTCTCCAGAGGGAACTTCTGCCCCTACCTCACCCCCTTAAGAGGAGAAACACCTCTACCCTGCAATGTTCAGAGTCTGGTCTGGGCTACTGAGAGGGTTCCCCACTGGCAGCTGCTGGGAGGGTGTGTGTTAAGTGGTGCCCTCTGGTGGCAGATGGCAGTCTTCAGGCTGGTGAGAGCAGGTTTCTAACCATTTCTTTCTTCCAGATGCAAAATATCATCCCTGGACTCAAGTGCCTTGTAAGTCTGCAAGCTCCAGTCAGTGCACAACCTGGCTCCCTCCTGCTGGTACAAGTCAGCTGGGAGCCCTGGAGTTAGTGGAGCTGCCTGTGCAGGGGCTTAGGGCAGGTGGCCATGATGGGGTCTGGGATGATGGCAGGAAGTTGCACCAAGGCTGACAGGAGAGGGAAGGCGAATGGGAGAATCCAGGGGTGGAAGCCTCACACTGGAACATCCCCTTTAGAGTGCGTGGGGGCCTGGGTGCAGGCGCAATCCCACACTGAATTCCTGGTCTCTTTTCAACAGAATCCTTAATCCAGAATCCATGACGTACTCCATCCCCCCTGGGGGTCACCATCTTGAAACAGCAAAAGCCAACTCCTTCCTTTGAATTAGCCAATCAAGAAAGACTGTGCACCTGAGCTCCAATCAAGAGCAAGGCATAGGTCACGTGCATCAGGGATTATAAAGCCAAGCAGACCCCCTGCTCCTGTGTGAGGACTTCCAGACCATGTGTGTGCACCCTTCTGGGTAGAAGTAAAGATGTTTGCCTTGCTGCCTGGCTCCCGAGTATGTTTTGTATTGGGACCTCTGAATTGGGGGCTTTGCCTTCTGAATTGGGGACTTTGCCTTCTTTCTAACAGGTATAAATACTAATACAGTAGAAGCTCGGTTCTCAAACTTAAATCATTCTGGAAGGCTGTTGGAATAGCGATTTATTAAAAAACCAAATCCATTTTCCCATTAGACACAATGTAAATTGAACTAATTCATTCCAGGTCCACAAGGATTCCCTGTTTTACCCTTTCTTTTATACAGTACATGTCTAATGTACTGTGTAGTCTATGAACTCACACCTCTTTGCTTCAATGTACCTAACCTCCCCTAATCACGTTCAGCACTTGTTTCCGGGTGTCTCAGGAAGTCAGCATGCTGCATCTGCACTTCTCACTGGGCACTGCCTCAGAGAGGCTGTCACTGACTGACTGCTTCTCATTGATCCAAATCAGCAAAAGTTTCTACTCTTCAATGACCTGTCATCATGGTTTTTTTCACAGGCTCAGCAACATTAGCTCTCTTGATGGCCTCTTTATGTTTTAAAATACTCCTAATCATCCATTTCACCAGCTAGGAAAGAAAAAAAACCCACAAAAATATTCATAGCATGATTTCTTGAGAGGTTAACAACAGGAGGGTTAGGGGGAAACTGAATCTCATTCTCTCCTTTGATTGTGACCTAAGAGATGCTTTTTGTCATGCTGAGGTCTCAGCATGAAAGGGTTGTCAGGTGGAGAACCAAATCCTGTTCAACAGGAAGAGACTTTTTCCATGAACATCTTGGTAGAGAAGTGAATTGTCTGAGATGGAAGAGCTCTGAGACCTCTGAGAAGGTCTGATTGTATTGCATTGTTTCATCTACACCCAAGGCCTGATGAACCACATCTGTCTCCCTACAGTCACCAGGGGATCTCGTGTTAGAAATGCTCTTAAGTGTCTTGGGGATTAAACACACGCTCGAATATGGATTGACAAGGCACTGTACTTCTGCAGAAGGGTGCAATGCCCCAGCAAGAATATGGTGGGCAAGCACAAAGAACGGGCAGTCCGTCTACTTTGATCCCTGAAGTGTTACTGCACTGTACCCTGACTGGCTTGAGGGCATGGTTTCACAATCTATCAGGAATGTCTAACTTGAGGAGGGCAGCGTGAGTTACAAGTGGGGGCTGTTTCAAATGCCTGCCCGGAAATGGGGCAAAACTATGTCTTGTCTCCTACAGGAATGTCTGTGGTTTTAACTACAAATATTTTTGTTAGACTTTAACTGTCTTCCAGGAAATGGGGGAGAGCTATGCCTTTGTCTTTTCCAGGAAGGGAGCCCTCGGTGGATTTGAGTACAAAATAAAGGGTTATAAAAAAAGAAATGGAGTTAATATCTAAACTATAGCTTTGATAGGAAAAACTTCCTAATTCTTACATCTCTGTCCCCTCATCCCCGAGTGTCGGGCTCTCTCACATTCTCCAGGACGTTGGGGTCCAAAGCCAGACTTTGCTCCTCTGACCCCGGCTTTCTGATTTTGGCCCCTCTCTTTAGGGGGACACATTCCTGACGGTGTCATTATCACTGAGGAAGCTAAGGCCAGGGAGCTAGTCCTATGGCTGGGAGGCCCGAGATGGTAGATTTCATTAATTTACCTCTCCTCCTGCCTGTCACCCTGTGCTGTGCTCTCCACATGGACAGAGAGCCTCCCCTTCGCACAGGAAGGGGGTGCCCTGGGGCCTCCCAGGGGCAGTGTCCTCTCCCCAGTGAGGACTTTCTGGAGCCAATAAAACCCCTGGAAAATTCAGCCTGGTACCTTGCTTACAGAGTTCCCCACAGCCATGCCAGGGGAGTGAGGAAGGCCCAGGAACCTCGATATATTTGGGGAACTTTGAGAATTCACCCAAATCTGTAGGTATCTCAGGTGAGGTCTGATGGCACGTCATTGGTTGGGCTTCCTGGCCTCAAGAATCTTCTGAACAGCCCCATCTGAGATTCAGCAGAGATTCAACAGATAAGGAACATAAAGAGTTAAAGGAGAGCCCATAACCTTCTCTTTTGTCTGTTCACATAACATGGCTGTAGCAGAGATTGACCTCATACAGCCGGGGAGGGAGGGAGCCCTTTTGCCACTGAGTCTAGTTGCTGCCTATAATGCCCTATAGGTCTGTGGTGATCTCCATGTTTCTGAGTCAGAACTCCTGAAGCATTTCCATTACTTTCATATGTGAAAGGGAAGAAGGGAGGTGTATAGCCCAGATGCCCCAGAGCAGGAGCTTCAGAAAGTACTACCTTGAGAGCTTCTTTAGCTTATTTCCCTGCAGGGCTCCATTGGATTGGAGCAGGTTGGTCTCACTTGAATAGGCTGGGCCAGCGGTTCTCAGCCTGTGGGTCGTGACCCCTTTGGGGGTCGAAACCTTTCACAGGAGTCGCCTAAGACCATCGGAAAACACATATATAATTACATATTGTTTTTGTGATTAATCACTATGCTTTAATTATGTTCAATTTGTAACAATGAAATTGGGGGTCACCACAACATGAGCAACTGTATTAAAGGGTCATGGCATTAGGAAGGTTGAGAACCACTGGTCTAGTCCCTGCCCTTTCCTCCATTATCTGGTCTTGTAAGATTTATTTACCTAAGTACTCCCATTTTACAGAGGCCACAAACCATAAACAAATACACAACCCCTAGAGGGGGTTATCAGTGCTGGTGCCAGGCCAGGTTTTTAGGTGTGGTCTCATGGCGCCCATCCCAACACACGGGGCTTTTTGCAAAGCCCACGAAAGGTCCGGAAGTGAAATCCGTATCTGGGGGACAAAGAAACCAAAAGGATTTAAAGGGAAAGCTTCCTCCATATTGGTTTGCTCAGGATTTGGAGAGACACAGTCTCCCCTGAGTTACTGTACTAGTACATACGATACATCTGAGAATGAATGTTTTTTTCCTATGTCTCCAAGTCTCCTGTGTACTTTTCGGTCACCTGGTAAATTCTGTAACATGACCACCAACCAGGTCAAGTTCCAGCAAACTTCTGCAAGGACAGAAAAAAAGCCTCTCTTTTTCTTTGCTGTGGCCTTCCACGTTTATGAGAAACACCTGGTAATTAAACCCCAAGATTGTTGGCTCCTCTGTTCAACCTGTGGGACAAGATAAGCTACTCTCAAGATACATTCTTGCATCCTCGTCCTACCTGCTGTTTCCACAATTCAGGGATAATTCACAAGGAGTCTCTAGTTCAGCAGTGGGCAAACTACGGCCCGCGGGCCGGATCCTGCCCGTTTGAAATGAATAAAACTAAAAAAAAAAAAAGACCGTACCCTTTTATGTAATGATGTTTACTTTGAATTTATATTAGTTCACACAAACACTCCATCCATGCTTTTGTTCCGGCCCTCCGGTCCAGTTTAAGAACCCATTGTGGCCCTCGAGTCAAAAAGTTTGCCCACCCCTGCTCTAGTTAGTAGAAAGCTCTCAACCCTCCTCCCCTTTCAGAGAAGCCTCTTTTGAACTCTATAACATATGCTCTAAGCGTGATAAGTCACCTCTTTGGGACATCTGATGGACTGTCTTCTGGAAAACAAACAAACTGACTTTTTAAGACCACCCCCCTGGTATCTGCTCAACTTCAACACAATCTGCCCCCGCCACCTTGATTGTTGCTTAGCAACTGCAATTGCTTGCCCTTTAAAAGCAGAAGCCACTCTTTGTTCCCTGCCCTGTATTGACTAGCAATACCTGGCCCTCTCCTCCCTTGGAAAGTGAAATAAATGTCCTCACTGCATCTGTTCCCTTAGTTGTGAATTCTTTCATAGCCCGAATCATCAGCCAAACCTAACAATTTTCAGCTCCCAGAAGACTCCCTCATGCCCTCCCAGGTTCATTGTCCAGTCTGAGGTCACCGAGGGTTCCGGTGTCACAGCTCCTTTTGGTTGCGGGGGCCCTTCCATGGTACCAGCACCATCACTTGTTCCTTCTTTCTCCTGCTGGTGCGCACTTGTGTGGTTTCCTGTTTGGAGCTATGGGAGTGAGGCTGTCGTGAAGGTGTTTTCATCTCTCTTGAGTTGTTCTCCAAAGTTGTGTTATTTCACACTCCAATCTGCAAGGAATGAGAGTTCCACTGGGTCCATGTCCCCATCAGTGATGACACTGTCCCTGGTGTCCCTGCTGCTGGAGAGGATAGCAAAGAATTTCCCTTCCCTGCCCTCCTTTCTGCTCCAACTGTGCTGTCTGCACCTTCAACTGGTTAAATTCTAGTTGACTCAGGGATACAATGGGGATGGAGGGTGGGCCAATGGGACAGGTGACCAGAGTTTACAGGAGCATCTGAAAGAAGTCAGTCTTTGCAAATTCTAGTGCATGTAGACAAGGCTCAAGAAGGAACAGAGGTACAGATCTATGTGTGACCTTGGGCACCTTCTACCAACATGGCACCTATCTGACCTTTAACAGTTCATTCAGGCTTGTCTGATTGCTCATTGGTTTTCTCTCTAGCACATTGCAGGGACCTGCTTGACTTTAGGTAAGTTCATTGTCCCCTCACCTCTACTTTCCAATCTACTCTTTGGACCCAGCCTCTCTTGCTAGTCTCTGTTTAATCATTTCCCTTAACTAGGAGCTGAAGCCAGTTAAAGGCAGTTCATTTAATGTTACCCTGACCTCCATGTCATTTGGAATAGACTTCTCTTCTCTCTGTTTTGTTTTTTTTTTTAAATCTTCACACGAGGATATTTTTTTTCATTGATTTTCAGACCGAGTGAAAAGGAAGGAGGGGGTGTGAGACAGAATTCGATTGGTTGCCTCCCGCACACACCCCAACTGGGGCAGGGGATTGAATCTGCCCTGGAGGTACCTGCCCTTGACTGGGAATGGAACCTGTGACCCTTAGCTCCTTGGCCTGATGCTCCAACCCAGTGATGCCGAACCTTTTGAGCTCGGCGTGTCAGTATTTTGAAAAACCCTAACTTAACTCTGGTGCCGTGTCACATATAGAAATTTTTTGATATTTGCAACCATAGTAAAACAAAGACTTATATTTTTGATATTTACTTTACATGTTGAAATGCCATTTAACAAAGAAAAATCAACGAAAGAAATGAGTACGCGTGTCATAGGTTCGCCATCACTGCTGTAACCACTGAGAAAAAACCGGCCAGGGCTCCTCTCCATATTCTAAAGCACAGAAAGAAAAGGGAGAAAGGAGGAGAGAGGGAAGAGAGAAGAAAGATGTAAATTCACGGAGAGGGAACTCAGAAGCTCCCTGGGTGCCACTATAATGGATATCATAACATCCATGATGAGGTTTTCTATTTGTAACACACCTTTTTCTACATGGTGATGTATTTATAAGAGGAATAGAATTTTAAAGGAGAGAAATATCTTTTTATGAATCACAATGTCCTCATTGATGTCAGGCTGCCACTCGTGAGCCCTGTGACCTTGGTCAGGTCTCTGAGCCTCAGTTTCTCTGTGTGGAAAGTGAGTATAACCTGGCCTTCCAGCACCACCTCCACCCCTCCCTGTGGCCCTGTCAAGTAACCCATTGTTTTCTGGACATTGTGACTGAGCATGCTCAGGAGACACAGCCATACACCCACAGGCAGCAGCCTCTGAAACTCGCTGTCATGTCAGTGGCCAGACTCTGAGAACCTGTACACGAGCCGAACACAATACAGAGAGGAAGGAAAAGCCACTGGAGTGGGAGTGTCTGCTTACCTGTCCCTGAGCCCCATCCTGGCCCCTTCTCCCCCAGCATTTTCCCTTTCTCTTTCTCTAAATCCTTGTCCACTTGCTCCTGGCTCCTCCCATTGAATAACAGTCAAATAGCTTTGTTTTGTTTCATAGTAAAGTCCTTCCCAGTGCAGAGAACTTCCTGGCTGGTGTGAGGAGCAGCCGCAACCACAGAGGTGGTGGAGAGATGGCCCTCATCTGCGAACAGCTTTCTGTCGTGAACCCAGTGAGTTCCCAGGCAGTGGGCACAGGGATGAGCTGGCTGCCTTGCCAGGGAAGCCGCTCTGGGTCTCTGAGGAAACCAGGCTGGGGTGGCAGAGGGTGCGTTGGGGGCAGACATGCCCGATGGGACAACCTCTGCCCCAGGCCGGTCTCACCTGCCTCTCAGGACCGAGGGATGACAATCACCCCCATTGGGGCGTTGCACAGATGGTGCTGAGCTCCCTCTGGGTGCCTGTCCTGTCCTGGGTGCTGAGGGGAGAAGCTCACTGGACAGCCCTGGGAGAGTGGGGCTTTGTTGGAATGAAAGGGGAAGTCAGCTGGGCTTCCCAGGGAGTCCAGCAGCCCGGCTTAGGAGATGGCCTCCCTGGGTTGAGCCGTTTCCTAGCTCGGTGACCACAGGCGAGCTGCTTTTCCCTCTCTGGGCCTCAGTTTCCACATCTGTAAAATTGGGGTAATCCTTGACCTGTCCCCCAGGATTGGGTAAGGATGCAGGTAGCATATCTAGGGTGTTTTCATGGTGCCTGGCAGGCGGTGGGGGCTTTTGAAGTGTTGAGCAGATTAGGAGTCTGGGGGCAGCAGGGAAGACCTCCTGAGGGGGGTCTGCTCGCTGGGGGTGAGTTATCAGGGGCAGGTCCAGGGTGTGTGCAGAGGGCCCTCTGGGGAGTGAGAGAGGAGGGGGCTGCCCTGCAGTGTGGGAGGCAAAGGGCTGCCTTTCCCACCTTTTGGCCACATGTGTGGGCCTGTCTGGGTGGCTGTGTGTAACCCTCTGAGCTTTACTATCCCCACGCCATCCATGGGAACCTGAGGCTCAGAGGCGTCGAGGCCACTTCCCAGATGTCCCAGATGGTCGAGGAGGAGGGTGCCTTGATTTACCCAAGAAGGGGAGGTGCCCACAGGGAGAGCAGTAATGGGGGAAGGCAGGCAGGTGGCAGCCCCAGGCCCAGGAGGTCACTGTGCCCTGGACCGGCCCGTGGAAGCCTCTCCCAGCCTCGGTAAACAGGGCCCGGAGGAGGAGTGAGAGAGCCCTTCCTGGGTGGGGTGTGGGGTAGGCGGGTGGCCTCAGGGTGAGAGCGTGTCCCCTTAGGCTGATTGTAAAATGGGAGATCCCAGCCTCCTTCCAGGTACTGCCATTTTCTTATCTTGGTGACTGGTTTTTACTTTTCAGACCTTGGATTCAAATGCCAGCTCTTTCAAATTAGAATGAAAATCCTGCTTGGGCGGCAGAGAGTTCAATCAGGGTCTGGGAGTACAAACAGGTAGGGGATGGGTGTAGCTGCCAGAGGCGGGAGGAGAGCCCATCCACCCCACGCAGTCACCTCTCCCGGGTGACCAGTGATTTCCATCAATCAGCATTCACCTCCCTCTTCCTCCAGCGTGTGCCAGGAAGAGCCCCCTGCCTGGCTGTTCTGAGGACCAGCTGAACACCATGAGGGTCTGCCCTGGGGTCCTCAGCCCCATTCCTTGCCAAGCCCCGCCAGCCTCATCTGGCTCCGCCTCTCAGAGGCCAGGGTGGAAGCTGGGACCACAGGCAGGACAGGACTCGCTGTTTGGTGGGGGAAGCCCTCAGGGAGCCAGGAGCCAGGAGGTCTGTGCTTCATCCTGAGAAGCAGCCTGTGTGGGGCTTCACAGCATGGGTGCTGGACCCAACCCCACCCTATTACTGACCAGCTGGGTGGCTTTGGGCAAGTTACCAGACCTTCTGTGCTCAGTTTCCCCATCTGTAGGGGTGGCCCTGATAATGGCCAGGGCTGTTGCCAGGACAACTAGGAACAGCCAGGGAAATGGGCCCAGAAGCACCTCAGAACCCTTGGGGCAGCAGCCTCTTTGCCTGAAAGGCTCCCGCTGGCCCTGCAGTGAGCCCCCTGTGCCAGCTGTGGCTGGGTGCCCGCTGGGGACACTGTGCCTCCAGAAGGAGGCTGTGCATCCTGTGGCCTGGGGCCTGGCTGTGCTGTCTGAGCCTCCAGAGAGAAAGAGGAGGAAAGAGGCCTCAGCCTCCAGGCCTGGCCAGGAGCTGAGAGCAAGCTCTGACCCAGCAGAGGGGTTAATCCATCTAAATTAATTCATTCGTCCAGGTTAGAGGAGAGAGGACACTGTCCCTTTAGATGAGAGACATGGTGTCTACTTTGTCATGGTCTCTGCCACTCCCTATTGCCCCTACCTGACAATCTCCCTCCTACACATCACCTGCCTGGCTCCTATAAGCATTTCAGTTCTGTAGGGTGTTGGCTTATAGGACAAGTAAGAAAAGACTAACTACTAGAGAAATGTGAAGATTGACTAGGAGCTAGAAGTTGTCTTTTGGTTAGTGCAAGTTAAGAGCACATCAGATAAAAGGCACCCTGGAGGTTACCTTAAAAGTCATGAAGAAACCAGTGTGGAATTTTGCTGAGAGAGACTAAGCAGGAAGCGGATGGTAGAGACACCTACTATGTGCCAGTCTCTTCCCCAGCCCTTTTCTCACTAACTCATTGATCTTACCCAGAAGGTCAGATGTACCCCTATGTTACAGATGAGGAAACTGAGGCAAAAGAGGGGACATAAGCTCCCTGAGGTCACCCCGGAAACGAGCAGCAGATTTAGGCTCCAAACCTGGATGATGCCTGGCTCTAAAATGATGCAAGCCTCACCAAAACCATTGTCCTTTCAGGTGGCCCGGGAAGGGATTTGACAAAACGGGCTCTATGGGGCCGTGGAGGAGTGCAGACACCTCACTAGGGCCTCGGAGGTTGCCAGGGCCTGGGGAGGGACTGGGAGCAGGAGCAGGAGAGGATACAGAGCATCCAGGTGCTACCTGAGGTGGCCGGGAGGGCAAAGGTCATGGTCACACTGTTCTGTGGCGGGGTGGGCAGGAGGATGCCTTCTTCTTGGCCTTCTCGGTGGAGCAGAAAGTTTATCCTTTAGAATAGGCTGCTGGCCTCTTTGGTCCCTTGGGTTTCTGAGTTTTCAACCAGGGTCCTGGGTCTTTGCTAAGAGCCTGGCCTGTGGTCCAGCAGCCCCTCTCACTAGGCTGGTTTCTTCCCCTCTCAGGGCCATGTTCATGCTACTTCCTCCTCTTGAAAGCTGCTCCTTCCCCTTAAGAGAGGTCAGCTCTGGGGCACATTGTCTCAGAGCCCGGCGGTCTCCTTAACAGTCTCAGAATGAACGTGTAACTCCCCAGATCCAAGTCCACTTCCTCACCGGTGAGAAGATCCATGAGACTGAGACTCCATATGCCCAATTTACCGCTGAATCTGGCCCCTGGCATGTTGCCCGACACACCAGGCCGGCCACTAGCAAGTGCCAGTACCAGAGGGATTGACAGAAGGAGCAGGACCCTAACTGACTGCCTTATTCTCCCTGCAGGTCGTCCCCTTTTCTAGGCTCACACAAAGGGGGGTCCGGTACACCCTCAAGGATGGACATCAGGTCAATGTCAAAGGAATGTTTCTTCAGTCCTATGGAAGCAGGTACCTGGAAGTGTTGTTTCTCTCCAGCCTTGACCCTTAGCAAAATGTCAACTGTCTGCTCCGGGTGGTTCACCTGACACTCTCCAAGCCGCCTGTGCCTGACTCAGGGGATGCTGGATGTGTAGGGCCTGGCCCTGCCAACACTGCATGGTACCCCTGCCCTCTGCCAGTAGAATCTGGACACCATGAACATAGATTCCCCATAGACACAGGGAGCTCATAGTCTAAGGCAGGGGTGGGCAAACTTTTTGACTCGAGGGCCACAATGGGTTCTTAAACTGGACCGGAGGGCCGGAACAAAAGCATGGATAGAGTGTTTGTGTGAACTAATATAAATTCAAAGTAAACATCATTACATAAAAGGGTACGGTCTTTTTTTTTTTTTTAGTTTTATTCATTTCAAACGGGCCGAATCCGACCCTCGGGCCGTAGTTTGCCCATGGCTGGTCTAAGGCCAATCCCGGGGTAGATCATTGAATTTTACACAGGAAGACCCAGAGATGCAAAAATGATGCCTCCTTTATTTCCCATAATGGCCTTCATTCACATCAAAGCCCTCATTTGACTGATGTGGAAATCTTTTTTTATCTATGTATGTTTTAATTTAAAATCTTTATTGTTTACAGTATAACACATGTCTCCTTTCCCCCCCTCCCCCATTGACCTCTCTCTAGCCTCCCCCATCCCCCTGCACATGCCTCACCCCCCTACTGTCTGTGTCCATTGGTTATGCTTATATGCACGCATACAAGTCCTTTGGTTGATCTCTTCCTCCCACTTCCTCCCCTGTGTTCCCTCTGAGGTTTGATGGTCTATTTGATGCTTCTATGTCTCTGGCTCTATTTTTGTTCATCAATTTATGTTGTTCATTATATTCCACAAATGAGTGAGATCATGTGATATTTATCTTTCTCTGACTGGCTTATTCTGCTTAGCATAATGCTCTCCAGGTCCATCCATGCTGTTGCAAATGGTAGGAGTTCTTTCTTTTTTACAGCAGCATAGTATGCCATTGTGTAGATGTACCACGGTTTTCTAATCCACTTGTCTGCTGATGGGAACTTAGGCTGTTTTCAAATCTTAGCTATTGTAAATTGTGCTGCTATGAACATAGGGGTGCATATATCCTTTCTGATTGGTATTTCTAGTTTCTTGGGATATATTCCTAGAAGTGGGATTACTGGGTCAAATGGGAGTTCCATTTTTAATGTTTTGAGGAAACTCCATACTGTTTTCCACTGTGGTTGCACCAGTCTGCATTCCCACCAGCAGAGCACAAGGGTTCCTTTTTCTCCACATCCTCACCAGCACTTGTCTTTTGTTGATTTGTTGATAGCCATTCTGACAGGTGTGAGATGGTATCTCATTGTCGTTTTGATTTGCATCTTCCTGCTGATTAGTGACTTTGAGCATGTTTTCATATGTATCTTGGCCTTCTGTACTAGTATGTCCACTTTCAAAAAGTGTCTATTTAGGTCCTTTGCCCATTTTTTGATTGGATTGTTTCTCTTCCTTTTGTTAAGTTGTATGAGTTCCCTATAAATTTTGGAGATTAAACCCTTATCGGATACAACATTGGCAAATATGTTCTCCCATGCAGTGGGCTCTCTTGTTTTGTTGATGATTTCTTTTGCTGTACAGAAGCTTTTTATTTTGATGTAGTCCCATTTATTTATTAAAAATCTTTATTGTGGAGAGTATTACAGATGATCATCTTTTCCCCCCTCTATTGCCACCCTCTACCCAGTTCCCACCCCGCCCCAAACCTTCACCACGCTATTGTTTGTGTCCATAGTTAATGCATATATGCATATAAGGCCTTTGGCTAATCTCTTCCTGATCCTTCTCTGAGATTCATCAGTTCATTTCATGTTTCCATGCCTCTGATTCTATTTTATTCATCAGTTTATTTTGTTTATTAGATTTCTTTTTATTTAGTTTGATTTTTAGATTCAATTTTTTGGTGGATATGTATTTATTGCCATTTTATGGTTCATATTATTTTTATCTTTTTTTCCCCTCTTCTTAAAGAATACCCTTCAACATTTCATGTAATACTGGTTTGTTGGTGATGAACTCCTTTAGCATTTTCTTATCTGTGAAGCTCTTAATTCTGAACTTCAATTCTAAATGATAGCTTTGCTGGGTAAATAATCTTGGTTGTATTTAAAGTACTTAAATTTGCCATCAAATGTAATTTTTTAAAAATATATTTGTATTGATATCAGAGGGGGAAGGGAGAGAAGAGAGAGAGATAGAAACATCAATGATGAGAATCATTGATCTGCTGCCTTCTGCATGTCCCCTACCCAGGACTGTGCCCACAACCCAGGCATATGCCCTTTACTCCAATCAAACCCGGGAGCCTTCAGTCTCCAGGCCAATGGTTTATCCATTGAGCCAAACTGGCTTAGGCTCAAATGTAATTTGATCTCTTCCTGTTTCAAGTTCCTTCCTGGAAAATACTAAATCATTTCAAAATACAAACATCTTCTAAGCACCGTTTCCCACCAAGAGGGGACTTTGGGGAACAGAGATGAGCTTGTACATCTCCCCAGAGGCTGGAGAGCCCTATAATACTCCAGCAGCCCTGGCTGCCCTCTGCTGAGGCCCAGGTGGTGTCCGGTGAGGGGCTCTTGCCTGATTTGGGTGGGGCTCTGCAGGAATTGAATAGAATGTCTATCTAGGGCCACCTCTGGGCTTGGTTCAGAGCCTAGCCCTGTGGGAGATGCAGAAGACACATAGGCAGGTTGAGGGCTTACCTGAGTGCTTTGCATTAGTTGGGGACATCAGAATGACCCCAAGAAACAGGCTATGAACCATGCTCCTGCTGAGTTCAGGGAAGGCTTGGAGTAGACAGTGACTCCTTGGATTGGGACTGGTTTTAGGACATGTGCCTGGGAAAGGGCAGAACAATCATGTATTGTGCCCTTTTCGTGAGCCTGGCTCCTGGGAAGGCTCTTTTGTTCTAATTCCTCACCTTAGAGCCATAGCGATCCCCAAAGGAAGTTTTGAAGGCAAAGGCTTCCTTCTGAGGAAGTAAGGAAATTTACTGTTGTGGAGGCTTCCTGAAAACCTCATTAATCATCCCCAAAGGAAGGGTGTCAGCCCCGCCCTGGGTGCCTTGACACCAGGGTAGTGTGTTTCAGGGTCACCCCAATAACTAACATATGAGCAGGGGTCAGGGTGGGAAACACACCAACCTCCGATGAGGGACAGACACACATCCCGGAAGTTCTCCTGCCTGGAGAACCAATATTCATTCCATGCCTCCCCTGCTAGACACCGTCTTTGTAGGTAAAGTCCATCAATGTCACATCTTCTCTCCATTTGTTCTCTTCCTTCCCAACTGAGGCAGCCATGGGCTGGCCTCTAACCAGTGTCCACTGGGCATGAGAGGCTCTTGCTTCTGGGCATGTTCCTGGATTTGCATCTTCATACAAATGTGCAATCAGTTTCCAAGACCCAGGCTTCCTGAGGCGCAAGTCCACATTGTTCTTTACCCAGTTCCTGCTTATTTCTGGAAAGTCAAGCTGGAAAGGGCAAAATGCAGTAATTCCACAAAACACACTAAGCGCAAATCAGGTAAACACAAAGGAAGGCAGCACAGTGGGATGGGTGCCACCTGCCACACAGGTTGTATGCAAGTTTCCAGACACACATGGAAGTCAGAGGCCCAGGGCCCTCCTGCTCCTACCATTGGGAATAAAGCAGAACGCTGTCTGATTTCCGTCACCTAGGTTTGCTGTGAACTTTCAGACGGGCTCCAGTGACTCTGAGATTGCCTTCCACTTCAACCCTCGGTTTGAAGAGGGTGGGTATGTGGTCTGTAACACCAAGCAGAAAGGACAGTGGGGGCTGGAGGAGAGGAAGATGGAAAATCCCTTCCAGATGGGAATTCCTTTTGAGATCAACTTCCTGGTGGAGAGCTCTGAATTCAAGGTGAGCAGGATTCTCCTCCTCCCTCTTGCTGCCTGTCCCCCTGCCCCATCGGGCCTGGAGAAACAACTTTAATAATTACCCAGGCAATGCAATTATACATAAAACAGGACCTTACACACCTTCACCTGCACTACAGGGGCACCTGTTGCTTCTGTGACCAGGAAATAAGAGCTAGGTAAGTCCCCACTTGCTCTTTGGCCTCGGGTCCCAGGTGACTTCCATCCTCTGCTGCAGCCTTGTCCGCTCCAGGTCCTTGACAGCATTTGTTTTTGGTGATGCTGTGGCAGCCCTTCTGCAGGTCCAGGGGCGGCTCAGGGCTGCATGGTGTAGTCATTGCTCTTGCAGGCAGAGCAGTGCTGCTGGGCCCGGGGAGAGGGATGGCTGTGTCTGTGCTTCTCTGTGTGAACGGGATGCTCCCAGACCTCAGTGTGCACCCTGAGGTGCCCTCTCCTCTGCTCCCATGAGCACTTTATGAGCATTTATATGCGCATATTGAAATGGCATCCCAGGTGAGCTGAGAAAGACAAACCTAGAGCAATAAACAAACAAGAATTAAGAAGCCAAACTAGAGCCAAGTGGTGGCTGGGTTTGGCTACATTTGGATCACATGTGTGTTCCTGTACCCGGAGCAGCTCTGAAGGCTGGGCCCCACCTATAGGAGATGAAGGTGAAAACCATACAGGCCTTAATTTCTAGCAGCAGGGGCCCTAGTGCTCAGGTGTGCTCCCCATCCTGGTCTGGGTCCCCTCTCTTGAAATATGCGCTCCTGTTGACAGGTGAAGGTGAATGGAAACTTCTTTATGAACTACATACACCGTGTGTCCCTCTACCGCGTGGACACCATCTCCTTCACCGGTGGTGTGGAGGTGACACAGATCAGCATCGAGGTTAGATTGTCCATCTGGCACTTGTCCCAGAGTCTGGGTTCAGGGGCAAGTCTAGCTATGCCTAGACCTTCTGGGTGGGTCCAAAAGTTCCAGCCAATCTCTCACTCCGGTGACTCTAGGGACACACCTTTGGCTTCCCCATCCCACTCTTCCTGTGTCACTGTCTCTGTCCAGAGCACCTGCCACAGCCTGACTCCCTCCCTTTTTATCTGTCCCTCTCTACTCCCACCCTGGTTGGGAGGCCATGTGGTCCCAGAAAGAACCCAGCTTGGGAATCACACTGAATCTAGCTCAGATCCCAGCTCTGCATTGTCATCAGCTGTGGGATCTCAGGCAAGTGAGTCTGCCTCTCCCAGCCTCAGTTTCTCATCTGTGCAAGGAGCATAGTCACAGCCTCCCCAGGAGGTATGTGTGGGCTCAATGACGTGATAGATGCAGAGTTCACAAAATGGCCCCCATGGGCCCACACCACGGTCTACTGGACTCTCTCTGGGTTTTCCAGTTTTTGAATGTGTTGCCAACATCTGCAAGGTCAGGAGCAAGTTTGCATTGTGGAGCTCAGTGCTGGTGATGGCTGCACAACAGTGTGAAGGCACTGAATGCCACTCCACTGTCCTCGTGAAAATGATGAAGGTGGTAAATTTCATGTGTATTTTACCAAAAATTTCCCAGGTCAGGTGATATCACATGGAAACCTGAATGTCTGGCTTTTTGTGAAAACTGGGAAGATTGGGGTATGCCTGGCCCACATTCCCACAGGGCCCCAGGCGCCTGGAGTGGAGATGTTATTTCCACTTCGGTATTTGAATGTGCTCCTGAGATGGGAAAGGCACACTGTATGCCTGCAACAAATATGAGCTCCTCTCTCTTTGTTCCCATTTCTTATTCTCTCCCTCTCTCCTACTCTGTCCATGCCTGCCTGGCTTTCTCCCTGTCTGGGCCCCTGCCTTTCCACTCTTCCTGGACTCATTAAAGCTTCTCTTCACTCCATGACGCCTTTTGTTTTTACAGGACACCCGAGTAGACTCTGACCAGAGGATGATCCCTGAGATGCAATCCAACCCCAATCCCTATGGCTCAGATGATTCCAAAGAACAGAAACCAAAAGTGAATTGAACATGGACAACTGGGAGGCTGAGCAGTCAGCAGGAAGGACAGGGATCTGAGAGAGGCTACTTCCAGGCAGCAGGCAGCCAGGGCGTCTAAGCCCCATCATGTCCACCCACGGTTCCCTATCTTCATCCACCAGTCACCCAGGCCTGGGACCTGGGAGGCTTCCTTGGTCCTTCCCTCCCTTCCTTAATGTCCCTCCAGTGCACCAACGCCTCTCCTTCCTGAAGCCACTGCTTCGGTCCAGGTCACCCTCCCCTCCCCGCTTTCTCCCCTCACACCCACCCACTGCCACAGTAACCATCAAATAAGCAAATCTTATCTCATCCTCTTCATGCTTAAATCTCTTCAAGGCCCCAGGCTCAAATAAAGCTCTAACTCCCAAGCTGGATGTGCAGAATTCTCCCCAGTCTTGCCCAGCCCACCTCCCAGCCTCCCACCTCACCCACGAAGACCCTCAGTCAACCTCCACTGCTCACTGAAGGCTCCTTCTGGCCACCACACTTTTGCATCTGCTGTCCTGGTGCCCAAAGTATCCTTTGCCACCTCACCCAGCCAGCCCCTAACTGCCCTTCAATGCCCTGCTTCAATGTGGCTCCTCAGGGGCATCTTCCCTGCCTGGCAGGTTGCTGGATGCCCCACCCCCTCCCTGACCTGCTGCACTATTAACTCTGTGCACGCCAGGCTCCATGTCCAGTTGTAACTGTACTTACATGTCTGTCTCTGTCACTCCACTCCCTCTTTCCCCAAACCATAAGCTTGGAATAGTGACTTGTCCCTTTCTGTATCCCCAGCACTTTGCAGGGAATAGAACAGAGGCCAACCCAAGCTGGGAGCCAGATTTTGCCAAATACCACCGAGCCCCTGGCTGAGTGCCTTCCTGGTTCCCCCTGAGAGAAGGAAACATGGCTCAGTCCCTTCAGCAGCCTTCCCCGGGAACATGTGTGTCCTTCACTCACTGCCATGCCCTTGACCCTTAGCCCCACCTCAAGGGCTTTGTCATCCAGGTGCCCAATCGTTATTAGCCAAACTCTCATGAACATGAAGGCCCCCGAGCAAAATTCAGAGACTGTAAGACAGGCTGTGCTCAGGCCTCCAGTAAAGAGCCGGCACTAAGATGAGAAATGCACTCAGAGGCCCACAGCAAATATGAGCTCCTCTCTCTTTGGCCCTCATCTCTGTTATTTTCTCCCTCTTGCCTACTCTGTCTGTCCCTGCCCGGCTGGCTTCCTCCCTCTTGTCCGGGCCCTGCCTTTCCATTCTTCCTTGGCTCATTAAAGCTTCTCTTCACCCCATAGCACCTTTTGTTTTCGCAGGACCCTAGTGATGTCCCTGTGGTGCAAAAGGGTCAGACTACTTGTGACCTACTGGAGCCCAAGGAGCAGAAAGCAAAAGTGAGTTAAACATGGAGAACCTGGGAGGCTGAGCAGTCAGCAGAAAGGACAGAAGGTCTGAGGGAGAAGCTAGTTGCTGGGAGTAGGCAGTGATGACCTACAGGCCACTGCATGCCCACCCAAGGTTCCCTATCTCCATCCACCAGGCACCCAGGTGCCACAACCTTTTGCAGTGAGGATTCAGGATCTGGTGAAGGGGCCACACATAAATGGATAGACTAGACAAGAAATATAAATTTAGAGTTCATGGGGGAATCAGGCGGAAACCTACTCTCTAGTGGAGTGACTCCCTGAATCTCTGGACCCATAGATTTTACTTACTAGAATATACATTTTACCTTTAGCAAAGCAAACAGACATCAATGTTAAGGTTTGTAAACAATAAAAGGATTATGTGCTTAGAGGATTGCCTTCAGCCATTCAGCCAGCAGCAGGTGATAATATGCTGATTCTCAGCCCTTGCTGAATATCAAAGTCCATCAGCCTTCTGATGGACTTCTGGCATTTATATGTTAACTACTTTTTGCTCTTTGCCTCTAGCATACAGGCCCCTGATCTGGGAGGCATCCTTCATTCTTCCCTCCCTTCCTTAATATCCCTCGAGTGCACCAAGGTCTCTCCTTTCTGAAGCCACTGCCTTGGATTAGGCCACCTGACTCTTCACTCCTCACCCCCCTCACACTGACACACTGCCACAGTGACCTTTCCAAAAGCAAATCTAGTAGCATCTACTCCCTCCTTAAAAACCCTAAAGGCCCCGGGCTCAATAGAGCTCCAGTCCCCCAGCTGGAGGAGCAGAATTTCCCTAGTCTTGCCTAGCCCACCTGCCGGCCTCTCACCTCACCAACGAAGACCCTCCATCAGCCTCCACTGCTCACTCCAGGCTCCTTCAGGCCACCACGCTTTTGCATCTGCTGTCCTGGGGCCAAAAGAACCCTTTGCCACCTCACCCAGCCAGCCCCTAACTGTCCTTCAATGCTCTGCTTCAATGTAGCTCCTCAGCGGCATCTTCCCTGCCTGGCAGGATGCTGGCTGCCCCACCCCCTCCCTGTCCCAATGGACATTTCATAACTCTATGCACGCCAGGCACCATGTCCTGTTGTAACTGTACTTACATGTCTGTCTCTGTCACTCCACCTGTCCTTCCCCAAACCTGTGAACTTGGGATTGTGACTTGTCCCTCTGTGTATCCCCAGCACTTTGCACAGTTCCTGGAGTGCAGTAGGGACTGGGTCAATGAATGAGGGATGTGGTTTGCACAGTCAGTAGAAGGGGAGACCAGTCAGGGCAAGAAGACCAGTCTGCTGGGCGGGGAGGGGCCTCGGGCAGGAAAAGGAGCAGGGCCTGGCCCTTCCTTGGCCACTTGAGCAGTGGGGGCAAGGCCAAGGGCGTCTCCCTACCCAGCTTCCTGTGGCCCATCACGGTGCATGGTGGGCCCCTGCCACCTGTCACACTGACTTTAGGATGGAGGACTCCAGAGGGCCTTTGCAGGGCAGCCCAACTTTGGCCCTGGCCTTGGGAGGACGGGGTATGCTGATACAACCAGACACAACTGGGTACCACTTTGCAATTGATCGCTTGCTACCTGGACAGGCTTGGGCAAGGTGCTTAACCTCTCTGAGCCTGTGCTCTCACTGAGCAAAACTGAAGTTGACCTTGGTGCAGACACAGGCAGGATTCCTGCCCTGGGACCTCGGGCTGGAGGTTGTTGCTGTCTGCATCTGCTCTTCACCTCTGCCTTCCTTGTCCCTGCCTCAGTCCCCGCCCTCCCAGCCCTTCCTGGATCTGGGGCTTCTCTGGAGAAACCAGGCCCTTGGCCCTGCTTCTGGCTGCAGCCATCCTGGAGTGGAGAAGGCTACTGGCTGGGCATAGCTTCCTCTGTCTGGGCAGCACCTGGAGCTCCATCTGCCCAAATCCTACCATCTGAGGATGGGGGGGGGGGGCCGGGGGTGCGGGGCGTTGGGTGTCAGTGCAGGCTGAAGCCCATGTTCAGTCCCCTCAGCAGAAAGGGAGCATCCTGGGCCTTCCCAAGCTCCTAACCTTAACCCTACCCCTCATCTACCTATGGACCCCATCCCCACTGTCCATTCAAGTCCACCTCAGGCTCCAGCCACCAGCTGGTCACTCCCATGGGAGGTGGTTGCCTCAGCCCCTCCTCTTTCTCCAACCTTTACCCTTTGCTTTCAGCCTGTACCAGTCCTTCCCCGACTCCAGGAACGTGACCGTGATTGACACCTGCTGGTCTCCACCACCTGCCAGCACCTTTTCCAACTGGACGCCCCCCTTTCCCAGTGCCCTTCAAATAAAGAGAAAAGAAAACTCGGTGCTGGCACATACGCACAGCGTGATTGTGGTTTATTCAATGTGTTTGGAGACATGCTGGGTATCTGGCCAAGGAGAGAGCATAGGGTCACTTTGATGGGGACGGGGTACCTGATTCATTTCTGCTCTCAGTGGGTCCCCCAAAATCCCACAAGGTGTGGGAGAAAGCAGCTGGCTTTATGGACAGGATCTCTGACAGGAAGCCTGATAACAGAGGTGAACCAGGAAACAGCCCCAAGCTCCTGAGGCGGGCCAAGGCCTGGGCCAGAGCCTGGAGGACCAGAGCCTGGAGGGCCAGGAAGGCTGATGGCAGGGCCGGCTCATCAGAGCCCCGTGTCCCAGTGGGAGGACGTGGCAGCTGGAGTCAAGAGGAGCTGACTCAGATGAAAGACTTGTGTGTGTGGTTCCACTGTGGGCCCCCGGCATTAGGGGTTAGTGTGGTGGGAAAGTGGCTCAGTGTGCGGGGTTCTGCCAGCCCCTGGGCCAGTGCCGAGGGACCCAGGTCCGTGCCCACGTCCTGCTAATCTCATGAAGAATCCAGGGCCTCAGGAACCAGGGTGCTGGCTCAAAGTGTAGTCCTGGAACCAGCAGTATCTACAGCACCTGGGAGCTTGTTATAGTGCAGACTCTGGGGCCAGCCACAGACCTGAATCAGGGTCTCCACTGGAAGGAGATCCCAGGAGGTTGCGTGTATAAAAGCATAAGAGTCACTGGTCCAGGTGACCGTGTTCTTGACCACCGTTGTTCTGATGATCTGAGGGACCCTGTAGGTTGGCATGTCCCCTTCACCCGCCCCCATCACCCCATCTGAGTAGGGAGGCCAGGGAGCCAATGAATCAGAGGCCAAACCCAAGCTGGGAGCCAGATTTTGCCAGTCCCCACTTAGCCCTGGCTGAGTGCCTTCCTGGTTCCCCCTGAGAGCAGGAAACATGGCTCAGCCCCTTCAGCAGCCTTCCCCGGGAACATGCGTGTCCTTTGTTCACCTCCATGCCCTTGACCCTTAGCCCCACCTCACGGGCTTTGTCATCCAGGTGCCCAATCGTTATTAGCCAAACTGTCATGAAGCTGGAGGCCCCAGAGCAAAACACGGAGACTGTAAGACAGGCTGTGCTCAGGCCTCGGCTAAAGAGCTGGCATCCCCCCACCCATCGCCCACGGGGGATGCCTCCTATGTGGGGCTCAGCTGAGGCCTGTGCTCCCTCCCTCCATCCCGGGTTGTCAGAGGTGCATGTGTGCTGCCCTCCTATCCATTTCAGGTCAAGCTGGCACATCTCTTGGGTTTTATTTTTTTTTGTCCAGGCTGCTGCACCCAACAGTTTCCAAGTCTATATAACTTAGGGCTGCTCCCCTTATAAAATACAACACACACAATGTGATTAAAATAAAATGCATTTCATATAAATATCTCCATCAAGGAGTCATACATGGAAGGCCTAAACAGCCTCAGGAGCTGACTAGTGTTTGCTTTTTAAATACAAGGGCATAAATAACTGTACATGGGGAGAAGGGCCAGGCTAAACACAGAGTGGCCCGTCGTCGCCTCCTGGTGGTCCCTCCTAGAGGTGCAATCAGAAGAAGGATCCATCCTCACCCACTGGCCAGGCCTGACATTGCAGATCTACTCTCCAAGGGACCAGGGACAACCCAGTTCCCCATGAGCCGGGGAAGGTGGGCTCAAAGGAGACAAGAGGTTCCACTCAGTGCAGGCTGCTACTCGGTAGCAAGTCAAGTAAAGGGGAAGGACATGGGGAAATAAGACGGGAGACTTGGGGCTATAATTTCCCACCATCTCCCCAGACCCTGTGACGTCAGATAATGGAGAGTTGGCTCCATCCTGCAATTCTCGGCAGCACCTTTAACTTCTCCTGTGGGCTGTGGGAGCTCTGGGATCGCTAGGCTGTCCCGCTGCCCCATCCTTTTTCATCTTGTAGGGAAACACAGCACTGAAGATGTCTTCATGATAGCGCTTCTGGCTCTTTAAGAAACAAGGATCACCGGGTCAGTCCTGCTGGTCCAGCCACCTCTCGTTCATCAGGTCCAGGCTAGAATGAGCTCCTGGGGTTCCCCAGCTTCCCCATCACTCCTACACCCATGAGCCATTTCTCTTCCCAATTGTCATGCTTGGATCATGCTTGAACCTCACTTAGAATCGTTAACCCCGCCTCTGCCCGCTCAGGCGGGGACCTCCTAAACATCTTTCCAGGCTTTATGGTGGACAGAATAGCTGGCCTAGTGCTCTGTCTACAGGAAGCTCCCGGAAATGTGAGCAGTTATATATACAAGTTTGGTGAATGCTACATACTTTCTCCACATTTAGAAGCAGCATCACTCTGCACAGGAGCCTGTTAGAGGCTCTGAACGTCTTATGGTAAATCAGCGGGTCAGCCTTTGTTTACTGAGCAACCAGACTGGGCTGCACCGCCAGGCTTCTGACAACCCCTCCAGCTCTGGCCTCCACCACCTCTAGGATTCCTTAGACGTCCACCACTGTGTGTGCCTGACTCCCCTGGTCCTGGCTCCCTGGCCCAGGCCCCTGACCTGCATCCCTGGCCTGCACCCCGGCTGCCATACCTTCAGCTGGAAGAAATAGTCCTCGACCTGCTCCTCACTCAGGCTCAGCCTGGCAGCCACCAGCTGCTTCAGTGTGTGGGCCACATCCCGGGCCATGCGCACGTCCCCACAGACATAGAGGTGGCCTTGCTCCTGGTGCAGCACGTGGAGCACCTGGTCGGCCAGCTGCTGCTGAAGGATTTCTTGGACATAGACCTGAAAGCAGAGGAGATGGTGAGCCCAGGCTCCGGCTGCTGGGTGGGGAGGGCAGCCAAGCGTGCAGTCAGGCCTGCTGGCCATCGGGAGGCGGCGAGGTGGGTGATGGGCTACAGGCTGAGCACCTCCCCGCTAGAACATTGCACAGGCCTGGGCTGGGCCGAGAGAGATGAATTCTAGCTGAAGCCCTGTCCTGAGGCGCTGGTGGTCCAGTGGGGTCCTGATGAACTCTGCACTCACCATGCTTCAAAGAGGCATCGATCAAGCCACTTGCCCTGCCCAGGGCTCTGAGGCCCACCTGCCTACATCCCAGAAAAGGGATTCTCTCAGTGCAGACTGCCTGTGGGATCTCCACTGTAATGCAGAGCAGGGCACAGAGTCCTGGGCCCCTCAGTGACATACAAGTCCAGGAGCCAATCGGGGCTCCCAGTTACCCCAGCACTGGGCCTGGAGCACTGGCTCTGGGAGGAGCCCTGATGGGACAAGTTCATAAGTGAGGAGCCAAGAGTCTGTCCCAACTCCCCGGGCTCAAGGGGTAAAGTGTTTCCTGGGCCTGTGATGGGTGCAGTGGCCGCCCTCCAGCCTTGCTGTGGTTGTGCATAAAGCGGCCTGGACCACCTCTCCCCAGGCAAGTGAGTTTCGGGGGGAGGATCTCAGCAGGCTGTGCCCGGGGATTAAGCCACCATGTGGCCCTGACTTAGTCCTGAAGGTCTCAGGGCCTGTCTCTTCTCCTGGAAGAGTGAATGGAAGAGCTTCCCAGCATCGCTCTGACAGTAACTGCCTACATTCTAGAGCTGAGATTAAGGCTCAGAGATGTGAGGGGCGTGTGTGTGGGGAGCCAGGGCACCCACCATAGTCTGTGCTTTTAATGCTCCTCCCACTGCACGGGCAGTTGCCCCATTACCTTGGGCTGGCCAGGCAGGCGAGAATAGGCTGTGTGCACCTCATGCAGCACCCCCTTCCGGGCCATCTCCAACATCTCCTCCCGGTAAAGGTGGTCCTCATCTGGGCGCCGGCACCCAAACACCAGGGTCATGTGGCCTCTCCCGAGCCCTGCAAGACCCAGCAGGCTGCAGTTACAAGGGTGGCCACCAGAGGGTGGGCTTCAAAGCCTGGCAAGCTGGCCACCCAACTTGAATTCTCATTTCATTGCTGCAAGTGTCCTATCTGGCACTTTGCCCACCTCACAGAGGAGGAAGCTGATGCCCAGGGCATTCATATCACTTGTCCACACAGGCGGAGGCAAACTGGGACAGGGGCCAAGCAATGTCTGTGGGCAGTGGCACAACTCTCTTGCAGCTCAGCTCTGGCCACCTGGTGCCCCCCATCCAACACTCAGAACCCCCCAGCTGTACCTTTGTGCTCAGTGTCATGGAGTCGCTGCTGCCAGAAACTGCGGAAGGGGGCGATGCCCGTGCCGGGCCCAATGAGGATGCAAGGACGGGAGGGGTCCTCGGGGAGCTGGAAGCCGCTGGCACTGATGGGGACAGAAAGAGACAGGCCCTAGTTGTCAGATACCATGGGTGGGATGCACATGCAGGACAGAGGCTAGGTAGCTGGGGTGTGTGCTTTGGGTGGCAGTGTTGGGGCGTGTGGAGAAGACAGTTATCTCAAATTTGATTCCCAAGTCCTGCAGGCTGCTTCATTTCCTCTGGCCTGAGCCACCATCACCTTGCCCTGGGTCCTTTTTAAAGAGGCTGAGCCTCCCTGTCCTCTGGGCTTCATCACCACTGTCATCTCCATCCCTGCTAGAGTCTTGGCCATGTTCTCTAGCCAGGAGGTAGGTGGAGAGGCCCCGGTGACCCCTAAGCCTTCTTTATGGGCCAAGGGGTCCAGAGTGGCACCTACACACAGGTCCCTCCCTTTCAACCCCAAACTCCCAGAACCAGTGGTCCCATCGCATACAGAATGGAGGGGGTACTTACCTTCTTACAAAACAAGGCACTGGGTCTTGGGGTTTCAGGCTGCTGAGCCATGTGCTGCAGACACCGTGGTGCAGGGGACCCTGGCCATCTGCAAGGACAGCACAGACCTGACCAACATAGCCCCCCACCCCCGGTGTGTGAACTGCCCCAGTGGCTCCTGGAACTCTGTGGGCTTTAATATGGGAGCTGTTTTTCTCCTGGTTCTGAGGCCCGCCCTTCATATAGTCAGAGCTGGTGAACGTGGAACGGGACGTAGAGAGCAGGCAAGCCTCTCCTTTGGCCACTGCAGAAACTGAGTCTCAGAGGGACAGTGACTTGTACAG